AAATTGAGCGCGAATGTGTGTGGTTAGTCATAGGGAAAAGCTGATCAGCCGCCTAGAGGAAAAGTAGAACTTCAAATCTGAGTTATTTTTAGTTCTTCTACTAGCTAGTCAGTCTGCAAGTCTGTACATACTTTCGTTCTCAGAGTTTGGTTTTAAAATAGAAGTCAATGCTAGAAGAATATTTTATGATTTTATTAGGGAAATAGTTTTTATCGGAGTTGTTGCTACACAATCCTGAAAACTTCACCAAAAATCACCAATGGAATACACTTTTCTATCGTGAAACCAGTTTTAACTTCCATTTGCATTTATTTTTTTTATTTAACAATCAGCATAATGTTTTTTATCAAGACTTAAAAAAAAGAGAAACAAAAGCAAAATAAAAAGGTAAATAAATCAGAAATAACTATTGTAAATTAGGTACCTTTAATACATTTAGATCAGCTAGAGAGCAAACAATTTGTGGGCAGTTCGTAGATGCCATTGGCATATTTAACGTATAGCACATAGCACCCATTAAAGGAAGTAAACAAATTACATTTAGCAACTAAATGGATGAGCGAAGTAACTACAATGAAATTGTATAGATCAGACCCCCTCTGACACTAGGATTTAAGGCAGTAGGATAAGTCTAGAGGCAACTGTTGGACGGATCTATTCGTGAATGTGAGTTTGGGGAAGGAGTATTGAGGAAAATCTCTACAGTGTTGTGATCTAAGGCATGCACATACTGAACTATGTTTAAACACAAGCAAATCGAAGCATTTACATGATTAATGATTAATTATTAAAACTGATGTCATGATACGATATACACACATATGTATGTATAGGCAATAGCTAGTATATAGTCTATTAATATTGCGGCACTCTTGGGTTTTTTCGTATATCGTACTGCACCGAAAACACGTAAGCGGAGAGCATCACTTAGTGGTTCATTATATGCAAGTCGATCAAACAAATGGATAAAGTAAATTGTTATTATCGGATTAAGTAGAGCTCCAAACAACAGATATGTTCACTTTTTCATATAAATCAAGGGAACTGCCAAAGAAAAAATTCTAAAGTCTAAAATATAAATCAGATGTAAATAATTTTGTCAGTATTTTATTTCGTAATTCGACACACAAAATGGTTTAATATAAGTAGCTGCTGGGGATCGTATTCCTAATGTTATTCGAACAAATAAAAATGAGCCATAAAATGTATTCCGAAGCTCCCATTTAAGCCATGGCTAATAATCCAGACACCCAAATAAACAATCAAACTTTTGGCAGTTGTTAGAATTAAGCAAACACCAAACAAGAGCAAAAAACAAGACATAAGTACTTTATTTTATAGACACTAAACCTAGGACAAAAAATTATAAAAACGATACATACAAAATCCAACTGGCTGCTATGAGAATTTTAAAAATTTAAAAACCTCCGCCATATGCAGACGGAACTCACATCCCATAAAAACCCATTAAAATTTCAACTTCAATGAAACCTTACCAAAATGCATGTGTATAAAAAACAAGTAAATATATACAAATGATTTAGTCACCATAAAAAAAAATAAAAAGGAAATATATGCATAAATAAAATCAAATATTTTCTGTTGGCATTTTTTGATAGCAAATAACCTAAATATTTATAGCCGAAAAAAAAAATCAAATGAAGCGCACTTTGTACAATTTTATGGAAAACAAAAAATTATTATTTCCAGACATACACAGGCCGTATAGGATATTTTACACGCATCCATATAAGAGATAAAATAATAACGAGGACTATATAAAAATGAAACGAAATTAAATTAATTAAAATTGGCAAATAGGCCAGAGAAATGCATTTTGTCTGCCAGCCAACGAGGGCAGAAATAACACAACATACAAGAGGTAACGAGTAAATATTGGCAGGTAGGCAGTGAGCTTAAATTGACAAATTTAAGGCCACAAGTTGCTACTTCAATGGCCAGCACTGTCGCCCCCAAAAAAAAACACCTCTCCATCACCATCATGAGTTCGGTTCAGTTCCTTCTCTCAAACCAAAAAACAAAAACCAAACTATGGAAATTCTGTGCCAACTGTGTTTAAAGTAGAACTCAAAGATAAAGTACGAATAAACGATATGAACGGAGAAATTGAATTATGACCGCTCATAAAACACTGCATGTAATTTATTTGAAATGTTCGAAAATAAAGTAGACGAAAAACGAGTAACGAAATGTCGACTGGGGCGAACCGTTTGCTCCATGATAAATAATATTAAAATACAGACATCTGTGTAAATAGTCAAACTGCGTACATTCTGCGCATACTTAATTAAAAACCAAAAGAAAAAAAAACCCATGAGAAATAGAATCTTATAGAGATATAAAGGGAGATCAGGTCTTTTGTTACCACTTTCCATCACATTTTGAATTCCCCATAAGTTTTGTTCTTTCTTTGGTCTGGCAGTTCGATAGCATAAGTTTCACTTGTATGATAAATAAAACTAAACCAAATATTTATATAGAGATATTATACGTATATGGAAAAGGAAACCTTAACATAATGACGCACTGAATCAAATAGAAGAAACGAGTATTTAAAAACCAAGACAATTAAAAACCATGAAAGAACTTTAAGCAAAACCAAACAAAAATAAAACACAAAAAAAAAACTGAAATTTAAAATACAACACCTGTCTCAAATTTAGACCATTTTAGAGGGGCTAGTGTGACGCCTGGGGGAAAACCGTTAGCCAAACTTGGGCGAAACTCAAAATCGAGTCCAAATAGCTGGCAGTCAAGTAGGCCACAGATTTTGATTGCCCGCATCCGGGCAACCGCCATTGGACATCGTCCTCGTATGCCTCCTGCTCCTCCTACTGCTCCTACTCCTGGAAAATCGAACGAGATGGTGTTAAAGCCAGGTTAAATGCTCGAGGCTTTGGTTTTTGGCCCGGACTGGATTGGGCTTCGGCTTGAATGCCACCCAACCCCCAAACTGTTAACCCGCATAAAACATAAGCCACCGAATGTCGTGTTGTGTGTGTTTGGCTGGAACCCGAAACACCCTTGCCGAGGCCCGGTGACTGACTCTGTGTTCATGTCCACCAGCTCTGTGGCTGACCCTGGCAACTATGGCCCCGGGACTTGGCCGAAATGGCTTTGATAAGCGGGGGCTACAAGAGCCGTGGCAAAGGGTTCATTTTCCCTCTATGTGTGCTAAGCAAATGCACTGGATTATTGAGGCAATTTGGTATTTTAAAGGGTAAGAAACAATAATGTACTTCAATTTGTACTTTAAATGGCTTTTGCCAGAAAATATTTGAAAACCTTCAATATACTTTTGTTAATTATAATTTATTACTTAACTCTAAAAGCCACCCACGCTGCTTAATATGAAGCCCACCGGCCACAAGCACATATTTACTCTTGGAGCCAAATTGCAATTGTTTACAATTGACTTGCAAGCTCAGCACAAATTGGTAGCAAAAAGGCCAAAAGAAACAGCCAAGTTTGTGGTGAGTAAACCAGGTGGGACAGCTGCTAAACGTTGAAAATCTGCCACAGACATAGACTGACTGAAACTGAAATGTTTCGAAATTGAGGAAAGAGTTATCTATCCGATCATCTATCTCAATCGATGGAGACAATAATCATCATCGCCTGCAATCCACAAGCGCTTTGCAACTCTTCTGCTTTCTGCCACTCACCTTTCATCTATCAGGTGCTAATTACAGAAATGCTTTCCATTATCCACACTTTTGGCATGTGCCGCCAACATAATTTCTTTTAGTTTTTTATTTATTATTACATTCTTTTAGGTATTTTGCATGTTGACGTTGGCGTTTTTTCAGTTTTTTGCCATTGTTATCGAGAAATTTACACGAATTTTCAACTTGTTGCTGAAAAAAAAAAAATTAGTAAGTATAAACAATCAGTTTTTTTGTCGTTCTTAAAAAATGTAAACCTAGGCAGATTTTGGTGAGTAAATGCTTGGCTTAAACACAGCCGTCAGACGCCAGCCGGTGGGTAAGAAAGTACAGTGATTTCAAAAAATATTTCATCGAAATCATAAACTATGACTTTAACAGAATCTTTTTCAAGAAGAACTTCAAGTGGCTCTTTGTTCAATTTTTAATCAGAGAGAGTCTTTTCCTAAAAATCTAAAAAATTTCCTTCAAATTAACAGCATTGACGTAGTTACAATTATCTTATAAACCCTATCCTACCAAACACCAAATTTCGACATTCAACTTTTGAAACCCACTGTACCTGAAGTGTCTATAATCCAATAAAGGTCAATGTGCTCGGCGGGCAGCAAGTGCGGAGTTTGAGACAACGAAACTTCTATAGAAATTTCAAAAAACTACTTTGGCGAAAAATATGGATATATAGAAATCTGGAATTAGGAAACGAACGATCCGAGAAGCCAAAAGAATAGAGAAGAATCTTTATTTATGCTCCGGCTGGCAAAAATTAATCGATGGAAATTACAAAAGTGGGAAGGTCAACTTTTCGACTGCCCATTAAGGGGAGATAAGTTCAAAGGTAAACCAGTTTCTTATTCTAATTTTCTCTTCCTCTAAGAAACCGAAAATTGGCTAAAATATTCTTTCAGTTTAATATTCTTTCGTTCTTTTTTGCCACGAAACTTGTTTCATTTTTGGCCAACTGTTTCAATAAAGGATATTTAGACAAGTGTTGAAAATTAGATTCCTTCCTAAAAGAGTAAAGAATAAAGATCAACTGTTGTTTTGACGACCTAAATAAATACGCTCAAGTAGATTAATGTCAGATGTCGGGTAATAATAAAAATGTTACCACAGACAAATGGGCTACAGTCACGTCCGAAAATATTCCCTCACCAGCCGGCAAAAGAGACCAACCTACCTGGCCAAAAGAGAGCAAACAGAGGTAAGAGAAGAGTGATCGCAGGCAGCGAAGAAAATGGTAAAAGCAAACACAGCCAACTGCCAACAACAATGAACGGTAAAAAGCGTAAGCCAACGCTCGATCGACGTCTTAAAGTTGGCCAAAAAGGCGGCCAAGAGCCCCGAGGAACATTCAGTCAAGCCGCGATCGTCGAGCTCAACGGACGTCTTTCTTGAAACCCGTTCTCGTACCGGGAATCGAAGTGAACTATTTGTTGTGTACTGACCGGAAAGTTCTTATTGGCCAAGAAAGGTCTGCCAAAGATCTCAAGATCTCAAGCGATCTCCGGCGCATTTTTGTGCTTATTTTTGTGTAATTTGCATTGAATGTCTCTGAACGCCGAACGTTCCTACAAAATGAAGCTGCGCGATGTGGAAAATGCCTTTAAATATCGGCGTATACCGTACCCCAAGCGGTAAGTGCGATCCATTTGAAAACACAATAAGAAAACAGAGTTCGAAAGAAAGATTTCTTTCACTTTACGAGAATAAAGTTCAATTCGAAGAGGAAATGCAATTGGGTTCCCAGTTTCAGTTTAATTGAAAACCGGTCATAATTGGTTATTGAATGGCCTGGGAATTGAGTTGGTTGCTGGTAGTTTAGATTGGATTGGTCCACACCGGCTGAAGATTATAAAGAAGAAAAAAAATAAAAAAAAGAGTCTGCTCTCGATTCTCCATAAAAAGCGATTAACTTTCCGTTTTTGCAGCTGGCTAAAAGTGAAAGACATTTCAGGGCCGACGCATTTGATAAATATAATTAAATCAAATCTCAAATTGCTGGCAAACGTTGTTCAAACATTTATGTTGGACTTTAAGTACTAGCAGTCAGCAAATTAATTGCATCTAGTTCTACACAAAAAAAAACTAGACTTTATTTCCCACAATTTAAATATGAAATAAAAATAGGAGATGGGTACTTTGAAATATTTAAACCTTTCATTAGAAATTCTTACTTTAAAAAATCTACACATTCCCTATTTCAAATACTTTTTTCCCCATTTTGAAATTCCTAAAAAGAGAATCCTATTATCTTTAATAAAATTTAAATAATCTGTTATAATAAAAGCCCTATTTCTCCCTCTGTAAATTTTTGTAGCTACCGTTTTTTATTCGCGTTTGTTGCTCTAGTTTATATGCTTTTATTTTTTACTGACGTTTTTTTATTCAATTCTTCTCATAATTCATTTGGTGTAGCACCTTGGGGCCAGTTTACAAAGATGAAAAGACGGAAAACCACAAAAACCCAAACTCAACTTCAACTATTTCAAGTGGCCAAAAAGAGCCGAGCTGAGCTATGCTGTATCTTTCCACCTACCCGCGGTGCATTGTCTTGGCCAACATTTTTCAGTGTTTGTTCTGGCCTTTTACAGAACTCAGCCCGGCTTAGTTCAGTTCAGCTTCAAGAGCCAACCCCGTTGACTTGACTGCCCGCTCATTAGTCGATGGTTGATGGTTGATGGTGGTCTCGGCGGTCGCCCATAACAATTTTGGCCATTCAAAGGTGTTTAGGCCCGACATCCGAGCCACTGCGTCCGCCATTGTGCAATGTTGGCTCCTTTTTTTCTCATTTTTGTGGCCAAAACTGTTGCAACGAGTGCGTCGAGATGTAAACTAATGATAAACCAACCACCCATGTTATGGACTAATTGGCTTTTGGGAAAAGATCTTTTCAAGCCTTTGTTGGTTTCTCGAATAGGGTGTGAAAATTTGCTTTTCATTAAGGCCAAATGAGCTACAGTCATGGTTAAAAGTTATAACCATAATTGGAATTAGGACAATTTATATTTAAATCGGAATAATTAGTCTTTTCCATCAAAATCAACTTAAAACCCATTCGCATTTTCTGCATATTTGACCAACAAATTATTACTATTAATATATGAATTACTGGCCTTAATTAAACACATGTTTTAAATAGCTGGAGTCCTGGAATTGCACAAATTTCACGCTCATTTTGACAATTTTATGCAGCTGCTGGTTTCAGTCAATCAGTTGGTCACTCAATCAGTCTGTCAGTCCGTCAGTCAATCGGACGATGAGTAAACATTTATTTATTTTCTTTTTTCATATCGGTTTTCAATTGCCACTGCAATTTAGCGAAAAGACAATCTTACTGTTTGGACAACAAAATTATGCAAATATTGGTATATGGATATGATTTATCGCATGAGAGAAGTAATATTCATGCCACGGGAGCCATGCTGGAACAATAATTCTCCAACGTGTACTCATTATTTGCACAGCTCTTTTGTGTATTTCCAAACTGATATTAATTAAATCAATTAATTGGTTTGGCTTAAACAACTCCCCGACAGATGTTTGGCAGCTTCATTAACCAGACACGCGATAAATGCCGAGTTCAATGCACTCAATTGATAAAATGCTGCCAAAAACGATTTATGAAGTCAATAATTATTGCCAATGCCATAGGTAGAATCAAAATCGGTTATGCAATATGGCTTACTTGCGCATGAATTAGCATTAATTACGTTTTCTAATTTGTTTCCCATATGGATTACCTATTAGGGCTTACCTAACAAAAATTTTACTTTTATTTTCAATGCAAGCCGAAGCGTGACAGAAATTATTTAGAACACCCCGCAAGCAGGTCAAGTGAGACAGAGATGGGGAAAACCGGGCTTGAAGAGACTAACTTGGCTCTTTCTTGGCCATTTCTTTTTTTCTTTCTGTCTTTCTTTCTTTCTTTTTAAAGCTCTTTTGCGATCAGACCCTGCCAAGATCTGTAGTCAGTCACATTCGTGTAATTACACTCAGTGATGTGATGTGATTTGTTTTGTTTCTTATTTTGTCTTCAGTTTTGTTTTATTTTCTTTGAATTATTGCAATGGAAATGATGTGTACTTGTGGGGTTTACACGCTGCGAAAGCTAATTATTACTGTCTACTGGCTACTGGCGGGTGGTAAATAAAATTCAAACTTTTATTACCAATCCAAAAATTTCACTTTTCCCAAAAGCATATACATTTTTAACTGAAATACCATGATTTAAACCTAGTTTAAAATTGAAACACATGCTGGCAGTGAAGGCCCTGGAAATACTTTGAAAAATATTACAGAACAAAAATGGAAAACTTCACAAACATTCGAGCCCGCAGTTCACACAATTTTCCCGAAAACTTCACACCTAACCCGCATGATCAGGTGAAACTATGAGAGCCCTCGGCCAAAATCTCACCCTTTTTCACTGATAATTTTGCACGCAACTTTTGGCAAGTGAAAGCCCACAAAATGTTTTGTATATTATTATAACAATTTATGACCGCAGCCGTTTAGCACCTTACAGAGATGGGCAACAAATATGTATGTTACTGGCCCGAACGCCCACATGCAGCAGCCTCTATGACTCTTATTAGTGATTCATAAAAACAAAGACATATGTACATTTTAGATAGTAACCTCTCCCATGACTAAATCTATTACCTTTCTACATTATCTAAGTCTGGATTATAAAAAAATTGTATTATTTTTAGCCAAGTATGTAGACCGTAAGAAGAAAAGCAAAAGCTGATTAACACAATCATGTGAAAAATGTGCAACACTTTTTGGCTAAAAAAGTCTCGTATGCCTGTATGTATTTATGGAGACAAGTGGAAATTATGTGTATAGCTTTCACTTGATATACAAATATGGTCTCTAGGGGGCAAAGGGGCGTGGCCAGCAATGCGTAACAGTCAAGGGATGATGACAATGATGAATTTTTTGCCTCTTCTGACGGATTTCAAGTTGAAGTCGCCGAAGCAAAAAGTGTAAATTGCTTGGCAGAAGGTGAAGTCGAGAGGAAGGTGGAATTAGTTGAAAGGTGTAACTGGTTCAAAGTGAGTGAGACAATCAAGAAAATAATCAAGATGAGGGGTTAAGGATTTCAAAGTGTGTTTTTATTTCATAAACTCCAAAAAAAGAAGGGGCAACATTCTCATTTTTTAATGTACCCTTCACTACCCTGTTCAAAAATATGAATACCACTCATTAATACCACATTTCGGCAAATCAGTCTCCCTAATTTGTTGGGGAACTTCCTTGTCCAACAATGAATCAAAAAAAAAAAACACAAAACATAACTTTCATAAAAATGATCTTTATGCAATGCAGCCTCCTTTCAATTTTCATTTTTCCCAAAAAACATATAAAGATGTTTGTCTCGTGCGTATCTCGTACTTTCTCATAAAATTTGATTGTTTTTGATCAAATATGCATGCAAAATGCTATAAATAAGCAACAAAAAAAATTAAAAGAAGGCTGGCTAAGAGTGTGTTTACTTGTTTGCTGCTTTTTGTTGGCCCACTGCAGACGAGGCAAATTTCAATTTAATTTCTTGTGCGCTACTTTACTCTCCACATAGCGAAAGTGAGTTAAGATCCGAAAACTTGGGGCTTCCTCGAGTATGTAAATCACCTTTTACGGCAAACAAACTGCTGGAGATTTATGGGCGCCGGCTATTTAGCCGAGCAGAATATTTTATGCCAGTTTTTTACTCCCATGGAGATGGTGGGACATGTCTGGGTTCCCAAGAGACGGATTTCCAGGTGGGTGGCGTCTTTAGGCATTTAAAAAAGCTCATTATCCGGAGAAAACATTGAACTGCAATTAGAGGAAATTTTTTCAAAGTTCTTTTCACTTTTCTGGCTGTCAAGCGTAAACAACACTACTTTTGGCAGGGTGATGATAATTGAAAATATGTACATATGTATAAGCCTTCTGCGAAAACACAAATCCCTTGCACTTGAGAAGTCAAAACTAGCTCACACTCTGTGAGAAACACCATAAAAGAGCATTTCATCAAGTTTTTTTGAGAAAACTAGAAAAAACTGCAATAAACCAGTTTGATAGTTGGCAAATATTGGCCAAGACCGAAACAAATGCACTTTCAAATGCGAGCAGCAGCAAAGCCGAGTAGTCAGAGCAAATGGCGAAGGCAATGCCGACAACGCCTAGACAACAAAAACAAAATATAAATAATAGTACAAGATTCCGTGAGCATTTTGGAGACTGAAGCCTAGAAACCGACCCCCAACAATGGACCAGGCCAAAATTGAAATTGTAACAAAATGCTCACGACAAATATGCGGTTTTTTCTGTCTGTCCCGAGTTGCGAGTTTTTCCCCAAGTTTTTCCGCCTCCCTCCGCAGTCTCCGTTTGGCCATTTTGCCTTTTGGCCAAGCCACTCCAAAAGCTGCATCATGACGTAATGACCACATGAACCAGCCCGGCCAAGTCATGTGCCTCTCGCTGGCTGGAAGCTAAACCGCAACGGAAAATCGGTCCACAGCTCGAGGAGGATCCCCAGCCTGAGCTCGAATCCGAGCCTTACTATAATTAAATATTTTTTAATTGCACTCTCTGCGGTCTTTTAATTGCCAGGGGGATTGGCCTAGGCATGACAAGTATGTGAAGC